ATAGAGCATCCTCAGTCATTGTATCCACAAGAGATCACTTCTACAAAACAAGGTTACAAGATAGTGCAGGTGATGCTAAAAAGACTTATTCCATCGTTAATAAGTTGCTCAATAAAGAAAAAGTTAGTACTACTACACCTTCTTGCTCTTCAAATCTTGAGAGTGCTAACAACTTTGCACAGTTCTTTAAATCAAAGGTCGACAACATATACAACAACATTTATTTAGAACAACAATCCCTTGAAGATTCTCCTAACTCAGATGAATCTGTTCCTCTTTCTAATAGCCCAACGATAGTACAATTCCGTCATGTGTCTGATGAGGAACTAGTAAGCATCATAAAGAATATGTCTAACAAATTCTGTGATCTTGACCCCATACCTACAAAGATTCTCATCAAGTGTCTCCCAGAACTCCTTCCTCTGATCTCATTTATAGTCAATGAATCATTAGTTAAAGGTGAGTTTCCTATAAAACTTAAGGAGGCTCTCATTCGTCCAAGTTTGAAGAAACGTGGCCTTGACGGTGAATTACTATCTAACTATAGGCCTATTAGCAATCTCTCATTCTTGTCAAAAATCATTGAGAAGTGTGTATCTATACAGCTCACCAGTTATCTTGAGGATAACAACTTGCTTTCTAAAGTTCAGTCCGGCTATAGGAAGTTTCATAGCTGTGAAACTGCAACAACCAGAATCCATAACGACATCTTGATAACTATTGACAAGAAAACTAAAGTTGTTCTTTTACTTCTAGATTTGAGTGCTGCCTTTGATACTGTCAATCACCCAAGATTAATCAAGAAGCTTAGATCTGCTTATGGCATTACAGGCATTGCTCTTACATGGATCAGGTCCTACTTGGCTAACCGTTCATTTTGTGTCAAAGTCAAGGATTCGTCTTCCTCATCAACTGTTCTTGAGATAGGTGTGCCACAAGGTTCAATCCTTGGCCCCCTGCTATTCATATTGTACACCAAAGATCTTGAGAACATTGCAAGTATGCATGGGTGCTGTATTCATTTGTATGCTGATGACACCCAGCTGTATTTCACTCTTGATTCTGATGACCCATCACAGCTAGAGCACAATATGGAACACTGTATGTCTGATATCAAGAAATGGATGACAAACAATTTCCTTCAACTGAATTCTTCTAAGACTGAAGTCATCGTTATATCCTCTAAATTTGACTCAAAAAATATTCCAGCCTCTCTACAGATTGTTAAGGATCAAGAGCCACATGTTGTTAGTGGAACTGTGAAGAGTCTTGGGCTGTATTTGGACAGTTATCTTTCAATGAGTGATCAGATTACGTCAGTGGTTCAAGCATGTAATATTCAGATCAGAAATTTGTGGTTTATTGCATCAAAACTGTCTTTTAACCTTAAGATTCAGCTTGTTCATGCTCTAGTACTCTCTAGAATTGATTATTGCAATAGCGTATATTTTGGACTGAGCTCTTATGATTTAAGTCGTTTACAGAAGGTGCAAAATTCTGCTGTAAGATTTATTTTCGGGAGAGGAAGAAAGGCACACACTACTCCACTACTTAAGAAAGTTCATTTTCTACCAGTTAGATTTAGAATAGATTTTAAGATTGCCCTACTTGCCTACAAGTGTTTAAATAATATAGCTCCTCCTTACTTAAAAGAGTTGATATCTCCTAGGCAGCAAAGTTTTAAAAATGTACGTCTTGATAATGATTATTTTTACCTTAGTTTTCCGCCCTCTCCTAACTATGTAAACACAGAGAAAGCTTTTAGTCACTGTGCAGTTAAAGTATTTAATTCCCTGCCATACGACATAAGATCAGCTGAGTCAGTTACATCTTTCAAGACCAAACTTAAAACATACTTCTTTTCTCTAGCATTTGATTGATTTTGCATTTACATAGGTAAAATGAACTTGTCATGTCTAATTTTCAATTAAACTAAGCTCAGTTAATGTAAGAGCCGCTTTAGAAAGCACTGGAGTTTATCTCCAGGATTAAATTATATCGAGTTATATGATTTAGCTATAAGGCGGTTTATAAAAGTTGTATTTATTATTATTTATTATTATTTGCTCCGTAGATAAAGCTTCAAATAATTATGTTTTTGTCTGCAAGAAGTTTTATCTTTTAACCCTTCTCAACGAACTTGGCTACGATCTCACTTCTCTAGAGTGTCGTGGCAATTCTACTTATCATCCGGTTAACTCTGTAGAGGATGATATTATTCAGGAACATGTGAACTTCATTAAAGATAACTTTAATATTCGTGTTTCTGAGGACAACCTTTGTCTACCGAGAATCTTTTGGATTCCTAAACTTCACAAGAATCCTTATAAGTCTAGATTTATAGCTGGGGCCAGTAAATGTACCACTAAGCAGATATCAGTTGTAGTCAACAAAGCTTTAAAAGTTTTAAAAGAATACTTTTCCAAATACTGCAACTCTATCTACAACAATACTGGAATTAACTGCGACTGGAGCATTAACAGCTCTAAACAGTTCCTGGAAAGGCTGCCTAGACTAGAGATTTTTAATATGCAGGTATACGACTTTACCACTCTGTATACCAATCTAGACCTTCAGGTTGTACAGTCACTGCTTTTCGAGCTAATAGATCTCCTCTTTAGTAATACGAATAAATTTATTTGTGTTTCTCTGTATAAGAACAACAATTTTTTCTCTAAAAAGGAATATAACGGATACTTATGTTTTTCTGCTGATAAACTCAAAACAGCTATTACATTTATTCTGTTTAACACTTTTGTTTGTTTTGGGGATCAGATTTTAAGACAAACGAAAGGCATTCCCATGGGAGGGAATTCTAGTAGCCAGTTCGCTGATCTTTCGCTAGGGAAGTGTGAATTCAACTACATGACACGCCTAATCAAAGAAAAGAAGTTCGGTCTCGCTAAGCTCCTCTCAAGAAACTGCAGATATGTCGACGACCTCAACACCATGAACTATTTGCATTTCTCTAACCTAATCAGGTCCATTTATCCACCTGACCTGCTTATGGAGAGGAGTGGTGACGACAATAAGTCCGTAAACTATCTCGACATCAACATCTCGATGAATAACTCCGGACACGTCGCCACCAAGCTTTACAACAAACTTGATGACTTCAACTTTCCTGTGGTCATGTACACCTTTCCTAACAGTAATATTTCCTCTTCTGTTGGTTATAATGTTTTTTACGGTCAGGTCCTTCGTTACTCTTCCATTATCTCTGACCTTGATTCTTTTCTGTGTTCTACCAACACCCTTTATAGGACACTTCTTTCAAGATGTTATAATGACAGACTCCTGAAGAGTAAATTCAGAAAGCTTCTGAAAGACCGACCTAGTATTCTGTACAAATACAGTATACTTGATGTCAGCGACATCCTTGACATCACATTTAACGTGAACAGGTGATCACTGACGAGTGATTGCTAGGGGGTCTTGGCACATTAAACCGGTACAGGTATTAAACCCCCGAAACCGGTGTGCCAAGTCATCTGCTGATGATGTTCACATAACATTATTTCCTCTCTCCTTTATTCCTTCCGTCTTTTCTTAAACTTACAGTTCAGTTACTTTATTTCACCAGGTCTACCTAAGGATCAATTATTCTTTGGTGGGGTTTCACTTCTGGTATTGGCTTCATTCCCGTTCCTTTTCCTTATTCTTTATACTTATTTTTTATATAGTTTAATGAGATCAGTTCATGGTGTGAGGAGTCAAGAAGAAAAGAAAGTAACAAAAACGGTTGCTGACACAGATTTGGACTTATACCTAGTATGACCTCTTATGAGTACCGTTAAATTATTAACAGGAAAATTGTCTTAATTTTGGTTGATCAAATGTTTTATATCAGATGTTGATTTCTTAAAGATAGGTGTATATTTTTGCTATTATTTCTATGAAAGGGGAGGTACAGATAAAGTACCAAACCTTATTGTGTATATTTGGTTGCAACTCCGGTAAATGATGAAACATGTCTCTTATGAGAGTGATACCGTGAGTTGCTTCCTTTTTTTTTTTTTTTAACACGGGTACTAACTCTGCTAAACTGAACAAATTCTGAAACTTAGGTGAATAAGTGTACAACGTGCTAAACCGAAGTCCAGACTGACCAGTGAAAATGGGCGAGCGTACCAAGTGTCATTTTAATTAGAAGTTTTAGTCAGTGATTTATTATTGAAGCTTGTAATTACAATATCTAATGCTCCTATAAATACTTTAATTAATTGTATGTCCCGTTTTTCTTTTTCCTTCCTCTTTTCCTTGTCATCCCCTTTAGTTTTAAGATTCTTGCTATAAATGGCTACAGCTAACACTATTAATGCTAAGTACCAAACAACAAGTGGGAGGTGGATCGTTGGTATACCATTAAATAAAATAAAATAAGTGTCACTGTCGTCAGAGATATCAGAGCAATTACTTGCTCAACAATTAAAAGTTCCTCAAATCTTTAGTGTCTGAAAGATTATGACTGGCATGGCGAAATTTTTATACATTCTGACTGAATTAAACAAACATATAACATCGCCTCCTAAATGGGAGGTACAAACCTGCCATCACAATGAATAGGGCTTAGTGCAGTATTGTCTGAACTGAACCTCTGCTTCTTGCTGTTTATCCCAATGATTTTAAATCATATGCTTCCTAAATTGTGCTCCAAATGTCATTCTGTTCTTGCAATCATATTACTAGAAGAGCAAAAAGAAAATGTGTCCCTTACCTAAGTTAAATTCTTCTGACTTTTGTACGGATTGTTTGTACAGTTATGTTTGTGCAGTTATGTAAAAATCAAGCATATTTCAGAGTGATTGCTTGTAGAAGATAAGATTGGTAATTTGTATATTGTGAATTTTGACATAAACTATTGTAGGTTCTCAGTCTAGAGTTAACCTCACTGTTTTGTTTAAAGACGGTACACTATTTGTCAGTTGGGTCTTATTATATTCAAATTGTGACTTAAAAACCCAAACAATGATAGCTTACAAAAAATAAAAGCTCTAGATAAGTTTTATGATCATTGATAACTTGTCTCAAATCTTAATTGATTCACTCTTTTGTAGGTAGCTCATGACCTCAGATTATTTGTGCCATGGAGTCTATACTTGATGAAATTGATTCTATGATTGGTGAGCTAGATGACATAGATTTCAAACCCAATCGCAAAAAGGTGAGTCTTTTAATCATGTATCACATGTGTTACTTGATAGCTTTGATTGTTGTTATTCGTTGTGAATATCACAGTAAACAACATAGTACAGAATTGAATCAAAATAATATGCACTGTTATTTGTAATTCAATTTTGATTTTACTTTTAAATAGTTTTACAATTTAAATATCAATTTAAACATAAATTTAAACATAAATTTAAACATCTTCACTGTGCAATCACTAGGATATTCTATAAATAAGTAATCTCAACTTAACATCAAATGAATCTCTAATAAAACATTAGGAGATAATAAAAAAGAAAGACCCTGATGTTCTGGATATCAAAGATGGTAAATTTTTAATGGTATTAGTTTATATTATTATGCAGGTTATGCTATCAAATATATGAATACAGTGTTAATTTATGTTAATAAATAATAAAAATCATCGAAGTATGTATAATTTTACATTGAAAATGAAGTCCTAGTAACAAAGGGTGATGCCCCTCAAAATAACCTGCTGCATTCCTCCTGTTATAAGTTGTATACTGATAGTTTTGTTACCTAATTTTATTTCACAGAAACCACAAATGGAGGACAGAATTTTTCCGACCTGATAAATGAACTTGCAGCATTCAACCCTGCACCTGCTGCAACCAAAACTCTTAAAAAAGGTAAGAACGCACAATACTGTTCAATTCATCGCACATTAAATTGAAGTAATTTAATACATAATTACAATTTTGATTTCTATTCTTTTTAATTGAGATATTATTTACAATATGTTGCTATTTTCTTTAGAGAACTAAACTTCTAAGCTACACATGTCACATTCTAAGACTGTCGCTCTAAGCTCCCTTTGGTCTCTGCTCAGGAGGCAGCGGGCCCACACTCGCTCTAAGCTCCCTTTGGTCTCTGCTCAGGAGGCAGTGGGCCCACGGGAGGTCCACAGTCCCCACTCGGTGGTCCGTTGTGTCGGGGTGTGTGTTCTACTCGTATGTATCTATCTTCTACCTCAACTAAACAAACAGCTAGTAGACACCAACATAGACAACAGAATAGGAGGATGATGAACAAGGGTGATATAAGGAATATTCCTGGTAGAGAGAAACTTTGTTACCTAAAAGTAGTTTACAGTGCCTGTTACTTTAACAGAAACTAAACCAGACCCATTTAACCGTAATTGTCGTAGCTAAAAGAAAATGGCTATGAAATCGGTTTTCAACATTTTACCGTGCAATAGTACACATTAATTGTCTAATTACTAAATGATGTGTATACAGCATGTGTATACAGCATGAGCACTATAAAATGAGAAATCTTACATAATGAGTCAAAAACATGCTTACCTATAATTGCGAAGGGAAATATTATGGCTAAAATAAGTAGAGAGAGTAGTCCCCATCGTCTCCTAAAGTTATTCCGCTGTTCTGACATTGCACACGGCCCTGGGTGGTCCCATGTTTTGGTCATTGTAAAGAGAAGTCCCGATATAATCAACTATCTAAAATAAATGTTGCACACTATTAATGAAGCTTACTTACCTTACTTTATTGTAAAATGAATTCCGTCGCTTGAGCACCCCATCCTCACATTTTACTGTAAAGTTAATATTATGATAATATTACATGATATTAATTTTTTTCTTTTTCTTAAATTCATAAAAATTGTTAAATTCATGTCAGAGAGACCACAAGTCTGATGAAAACGTAACAACAATTGAATTTAAGATACATGAAATATTAACGAAGCAGTGCAATTTAAATCATCACGTGTTCTTGAACAAGATTTATTTATTTACATTACATATTATAACAATAACATGTTATCATACTTTAATTAAGTAGCCATAGTTACTTAATCATACTGATTGAAGAATTCAACCGCACAACGCGCTGTTGATAAATAAATAAGCCATAAATAAATACGTTCCTAATCGCCCGGTCTATGATCAAGTCTGATGATATTTGAAGCCTCAAGTAAACAACAAATGAACACAGTGCAGTGCACACGAATAAAATCTTGGGTTGTACTGACAAAATAAATATGAGTAGATAAAGATATTATGTGGTACACTGTGATAGTGTGCCTTAATCTAGATGATAAATAACTTGACAAGATGACATCATCATTAATACCATGTAATCACCATTATATTACCGTTATTTGCATAGTTAACGAAATCAGTGATTTCGGAAATCACGTATCACATCTTAACATACATCACACAAAGTTCATTGTTGAAAATTTATTCAAATGGCTTCAGCATAATCGTTTTAACCGCAAACATTTTCTTTACAGTGGCAGATTTTGATTTGCTAAATGTAATTGACACCTGCACGCGGTTTAAGTGGATTATCAAATACGATAAGATCCTGTAAGCCAATCACAACACAGTTAGTACATTACAAGTTACAAGTCAACAGGGTGTGGTCGACACTATATATATTATGTTCACTGTTGAACCAGACTTCCTAGATTTTTACTTTTGTCTAGATCATGTTGGGGTAAAAATTATACCTAGATAGGTCAAGTATTATACTACAGCTACACTAGATGATGTAGTAACCTGTATTTATACAGTCAGAAATTATGAGGATTATTTTATTCAAACATTTTTTTAAATGTAAAGGAGAGACCTCTATGAGTTGTTTATATTTCTCAATCTAGGATTTAACTGACAAGATAGTTTGGTTGGTTAGGACTTAGGCTTGCGTATCCGTCATGAACACTTCCATCCTTTTTTTTGAGTTTCAGAAATCTGAATAAAGATCAGAATTCATGAATCAGGAAGTTACAATGACGACGATTTTCCCAATATCTTACTACTGCATATCCGTTAACAATATCCTACTACAACATGATATCGTTAATAATATCAGAGCATTGACCGGAATCATTACGTGCGGATCAGGAGGTGGAAATAATTAAATGATGATATCTCTAATGAACAGTTCATCAGTTCATTACGTGTCTATGTGAACATTACTCCTACATAATACAGGTATTGTTATTCCAGTATTGTTACTCTGATTATTACTACTCGCCAGGTCCCCTGATATTATCAGACAAAGTCACATACATGGTACACAGTACAGCCGTGATATAATACTTATTGTAAACAATTGAAAATCACATTTGAGGATACGGGCTTTAAAGTTCAGACCGTTATCAGCAGATGTAAACAAAGATAACTATAATCTTGTTTATCCCAATAATTGTATAAATATGGTTTGATATGGTGTTGTGATTTGATTATCATTATTGGGGAAAACCAACATGGCTGTGTTGACCACTGTTAGAGAAAAACAGCAAATACAACGTGCACTGTCCTGACTGCTGCGTGTGATTATACACTCATGATTTTGGTTAAACATGATCATTAGGTTTAATTTCCGGCTCAAAACATAAATATTCTCCTTTTTGCAGACCTTAAATACTGATTACAAGGATTGCTGGTGTTCAGGAATGTTCAGCAGAAAAACCACAAACCCCTCACCCTCGAGAAATCAAATCACGATTTAACTTTACTCACATAAAATAAGATACACCATAAAACGATCCCATGTTATACGAGTTAACCTAAATTATAATCCCAGGTTGTAACCTGAAATTTGAGTCCAAATGTAGGATTGTGGGTTTATACGGGGGTCGTGTATGTGATTATGAGAGGGTATGTGATTATAAGATTGGATAAGTTTGACACGCTGTAACCTGGTTTAGTTAGCAATGTGTGCGGGCTGATCACCCGACCTTACCACCTCTATATAAATTATCAGGCTAATTAATAATAATAATCATTATAATAGCGTAATTACATAATTAGTTGGCATAATTACATAATTAGTAGCTATAATTACATGATTAGTGGGTATGTAATAGTGGTTAGCTGCTTAATTCCGGCTCCAGGTTAGTGTGCAGATGTTTAGAGGCTGGACAGCAGAGTGTGTGGTTTACTCTTATTAACTTATTAAATTTGCAGTCCTCTCTAACCAATGTCTGTGGACTTGGACTTGAAATCAAATAAAGGACGGTCATCTCCACAATCCTCATTAATCATAAACGTGTCTAAATCCGAACCTGCACATTTACGAGGGGCGGATTAATTTGACCGCTAACTAAAATTGATATTTAGCAGGTTTCTCGTTCATTGACGGTACATTTAACTTGACAAATTCCTGATTTAACTCGACAAATTCCTGATTTAAATTGACAAATTTCTGTCAGATTCCTGTCAGATTGGAAATGTTTTTCGGCACTAAAACTGTACAATATAATGACAGCTCCAGTTGCTGGCCTGGGGTGACATGTGATCCAGGAATGTAACCAAAACTTGGGTGGTAAAATCTAATAATAGCCAAATTAGCGGGGGTACAATTGGTAAAATCTGGTATGTTCCCCACTACCCAGCCTGTTCTGGTGGAATGTGCTGCCAATCTCTCTCTCTGAGGAAATACATTTAAATAATTAGAGTGAAGAGCTGTTGTGGTTTATTGCTCTGTGCACAGAGTGGTAAACTCTCCTCCACACGCTGCCCATTACATGGTTAAATAGGCATTCCTGGCAAAATACCTGTCATAGCTCATGGTTAAATGGACAAATACCAGAATTTCCAAAATATCTGGGTGTGTCAAGTGTGTCATTCACTGGGCGATTTCCAGCATTACTGACATGACATTATCATATTACAGGGTGTACCACAGAAAGTATGACTTTTTTGAGAAACGATATAAAATGAAGGAGCAATTGCTAACACTTTATGCGGTACACCCTGTACATATAAGCGACAAGAGCCCCCCCGCTACCCAAAAACCCATGGTTCCAGGGCTGCACCCCCCCCCGGGAACTGCTAAGGGTCTCCCCGCTTCCCCGGGATAACGGAGGGCCCCTCTTCTTTAGCCGGTTTCCAGTGTCCCAGTAAGGGGCACTTTGGTGCTGACATGAGTTTGGAGTCGGTGAAAAACTTTAAATTCCCCCCGCGAGGGGGGAGCCCTCCTTGGTTTGTATCGAGGTGGGGCCCCCCGGTTTTTCCCTGACAAAAACAAACTTTTGGACCATTACTCCGGGGCGGAGATAGACTGCCACAAAATATTCCCCCCCCCCTTGTTATTTTTAAAAAGGTTTAGATGACCGTGCCATCCCAATGTTTTCTCGTGAGAAGGAGAGGGGTTGTAGGGGTTTTTAAGAAAAATCCAACGCCCCTTAATTGATTTTTGTTTAAGGGGGAAAAAAACGACTTTGCTTAAAACTTTTTTAATAGATAAAAAATTGGATGAACTTAAGATTTAAAAGGGTTTTTACAATTTTGTATCGAGTTTTTTAACCCCGCTCGGGGGTTTTTTTGCAGGAAATTTATTCGTATTTTTGTTTTGTTTTAAATTCTGAAATTTTGAATGGCAAAAAAACCCAAAAATATTTTACTTTTTTTAAAAATTTTTAAACGATTTGATGGGTTTTACGTATTTATTCATAAAAAATTTTAAAAAGAATATGTTCCCCAACAATTATACCTGCATTTTTTTTGTAAACCTTTAAAATTTTAAAATACCGTTTTTATTCTTTGCCCCCCCTTTCCTCCATATTTTTTGTAAATTTTTTTAAAAAGGGGTCGTTCACAATTCGTAATCACTTTTGAACTTTTTTTAAAAACCCCCCCCCCCCCCCCCCCC